CACATGACTCGTCGCCGACAAGGTGGACGAGGTGTTGTTCTCGGTGATGGTGGTCATCCATCAGAGCCGCATGAGGCGTAGCAATTGCTAAACTCTCGGGATCCGATTCCAAATCGATGGACTGGGACTTATGTGGGGGCCAAGGGGCAATGGCATTGTCTGCGGAGAAAATGAAGCCAATTCTAAATCGAGGGATGTGGTCGTGCAAGATGAGAGAAATTTGGGCTACATATTGCATAACGTGGAAGAAAGACCTGGTGAGACTCTGGTGATGAAAGAGAGGTCGAAAACATACAAAAAGTTTGCAAAATTGTTGGAAGATTTGACAAAACCCTTGTGTCCAAACTCCCAATTGCAAAGCGGGGCACACGTTGTTGTCTGTCACACTAGAACTTCTAAAGATCAAGGCGAAGCCATACTTGACCATGTCAAGTTTTGTGGCCAGCATGCATAAATCCAAGAACCAGGCTCAAGCTTGGTGAGGCCCATCAGTTTTGTTCTCTGCTGTTGTTCCTTTCTCCCCCGTGCAGAAAGGCGAGGCTCATCACTCACCAGTTGCTTGGAAGCTAGTCAATTGATCTCAGTCCCTGTACAGTACTACGTGCTTTCATCACCGATCCTGCAACTGCAACGCAGTTGAGTTCACCTTACCGTATCTGTCTTAGCAAGTTAGCCGTGATCATATCGATTCTCACAGCCGCAGTGAGTAACACATGGCCCTCCCACAAAGCCGCGTCATCTTGCTTAACTAGCCTTTTTTACTACTAATATATAGACATATTCTGCATAACAATCACATTTCCTCGCCTCCTCGGGAACGCAAAAACAAGTACTGTATACACGTTCCACTCACAGTCCCTGCTTTGACCCTCTCGCTAAATTAATACTAATCCGTTGCGCACCTGACACTACAATACCAGTATATATCTCGCTCACTCTTAAGCCCTGAGGCGTAGCAAGTGACAGGCATACACCAAACAGTCTGACTGTTTGAGATTGCGAGCCGTGACCACTGTGTCAAGTTCTCCTCAGAACCACCACCACCACCACGTACGTACCCATGGAGGAGAAGGGTGCGCTGTCGCCGGCGTCCAGTTCCTCCACCACTTGCAGCAGCCTCGGCTCCGGCCCCAGCTCCCCCCTCACGACGTCGTCTTCTGACGACTCGAGCGGCGGCGGCGGCGGCGTCGTTGCTGCCGCGGGCAGCAGGAAGCGGCCGCGGCGGGACCTGAAGCACCCGACATACCGCGGCGTGCGCATGCGGGCCTGGGGGAAGTGGGTGTCGGAGATCCGCGAGCCCCGCAAGAAGTCGCGCATCTGGCTCGGCACCTTCGACACCGCCGAGATGGCCGCGCGCGCCCACGACGTCGCCGCGCTCTCCATCAAGGGCCGCGCCGCCGCGCACCTCAACTTCCCGGAGACCGCGCACCAGCTGCCCCTCCCCGCCACCGCCGCGCCCGAGGACGTGCGAGCCGCGGCCGCGCTCGCCGCGCAAATGGACCGCGCACCAGACGCGGACGCCGTCGAGGACACATACACCAAGGTCGAGGAGCCAGCGCCGGCACCTGCAGCGGCAGCGCATGCGGTGCCGGACGACCACATTCTTGACCTCGCGCTCTTCGACCTGCCGGAGTTCCTGCACGAGTTCGGCTTCGCGTTGCCTCCCTCCACGTATGATGCGTACTCATGGCACGACGTCGGGGCCGAGGACTTCCGGTTCGAGCCGGCGCCGTTGCTGCTCTGGGAGCACTAACGATCCGTGTCGTGTGACGAGCAGCTAGGGACCGGGCCGGCAACACGCGGCATGCATGTCAGTTCCAAGTTGGGTTTATGGTGATGATCTGCATGCGGCGTGTTACCGAGCACACTGGTAAAATCGACTCCTGCGTGGTGTACTAACATGGGCAACTGCGATAGAATCGCAGGCTAAAGATAGTTTGTGGATTCATATCTTCTGAAAACTGAATAAAGCTCAGCTACTTTACATCGTTATTTGTGCCACATACTCTTAAACTTGCTTCTCTGGTGTTTGTTGTTCATATGTGGAGTCTATTTCCCCATCCACATTACCAGGAAAGGTATTCCTGATCGAAAATACTGGCCAACTTATCTTGCAGTGACACTGCATGCAGTTTTGTGTGCATTTGCTATTCATCTTGCCTGAAATTCCGATTAGGGATGATCGCTTTTGGGCGAAGCACAAGGCAGAGACGGAAGTGCCGCGGCAAGGCCGAGCCAGGAGCGATCCGGAGTTAGGGCAGACATGGCAGCGGCGTTGCTGGTGGAGGAGAGTCGGAGGTTGATGGGTTCAGGTGCCGGGGTTTGCTTCGAAGTCGCCAACGACGGAGATTGTGCCGGGGTTTAGAGGTCTGGCCGGGGCGTCAGCAACACGTTGAGGGGTGGCGAGGCATGCGCGGCATAGCAGTCGACCGCTGGGTGGCGACAATAGGCAGTTAGGCCGGCGCCAGGCGTCGATTGGCGACAGCATCGGAAGGTGGAAGAAGAAACTACACACTTAAATCTATGAAGAAACTTCCCACACCGTTACCATGGGAGCCACTCCTAGAGGTGCGGGTAACAACGGCGCATCATGCTTCTTGATTGAAGCGTCGGCACCCTTACTCGAGACGACCATCTCTGTTTCGAACGATTTTTTTTATTAAGTTCTCGAACGAAATTGATGTACACACGACATGACAAAGTTGTCGAAAAAGAGAAAGGAAGTAATGACGATTGGGAGAGAGTCGGCCAACAGTAGAATGGAAGGACGATTGTTTCCCATAACAACTTTGTTATTTCTTAGTCGCCTGAGAAACAACTATTTCTATTTCTAAGTCACCTCTAATAATCATCTTATCTTTTTTTGGCGAAAAGGCTAGCACATGCCCCTAAAAAAACATCCTTACAGAAACTGCAAAATACATCCAAATACTTGAGGGCCAAAGTTTTGTTTCCGTCTCAGCGGAACAAACTTCAGGTCTTGCTGTTTAGGTTTTGGATGCCTCCGTCTCAGCGGCGGCGGCCCTCGGCAAACTCCACGGCGATGCCTTCAAGAAGGGAACGACGCATATATCGCCGCCACTAACGGCCTTAGCAAACGCCGAAGGCAAGTTTTCACCCAGATTAGTTCGAAGGGATCCAACTCTCGTGCACGGGCCGCCGTCACCACCAGCACCACCAGGCGAAACCCTGGAGCACTGGCAGATCAGCGGGCCGCCGGCACCACCGCATCCAGATCGCCGGCCACGTCGGGCTGCCGCCATCCCCCGCGCCGTCTGGGTCAGAGATGGAGCCGCCGACCGCGCACAGGGACCACCGCCGCCTGCACACGCCGGAGCGCCGCCGAGAGCCCAGCGCCCGCCATCGCTTGCCGAGGGCCGCCGCCGCGCGCCCTGAGCGGACTCCCACGCACACCAGAAAAAACTGCCGTCGCCCCCAAGCCCGCGCCGCCAACCACCG